TAAAAACGCAGTAAGGGAGAATAAATTATCTGCTACATTCAATGATGCGCCACATACAGTAGTCAATAAGGAAGGTAATGACGTTGAAGTAGTGAATGATGAAAATGGGAAACGACTTCGTAGGAACATCGTACACTTGAAGAAGGTCGAGGGTAAATGGGAAATTTGTCCAAATAAATCTTTAGAGATCGACGGAAATGGTAATGAGGAAATATTAATTGAAAAAGAATAATCGATTAACTTTTGTCTGATGTAGTACTTTGTTAGTGCTAATTCTGAGTATTATATAGTATTGTGTTTCTGTTGAGTAGCCTATAATAATAATTTCAATTTTTCAAATTTTTGTAAAAGGTAGATATGTAGTGTATTATGTTAAATAAACGTAGCACGCTTACTGGGGGGCGGTCGGTGGTGGGGAGCGCGGCTGGCGACTCGCTAGCCGCTCTCTCGAGCTGCGACCGTCGTGTGGATAAGTGCGGTACAAATCTGTTTTGGTGTTTCATTTTACGTGTACATACGAAGCGAACCTTTACACTATCTATTGCTGAAAACTGCATTAAAAGCCATTGAATATGTTTAAAAGATCTAAGCGAACAGACAGCGGAATTGACTTCATTTTATACTATATGAAGATTTCACTTAACACTATACTAGTAAACAGGATTACATTCCTAAGCAAAATTACTTCAATTTTTTTTTACCAAAAGTTAATCAAAATGTTATACTATGGACTTTTTACAAATCCACATATATCATATAGTATACACAATACTTTTTTATTAATAGAAGAGTGCTATAAGAAATTATAAATTAATTTAGACAATGGAAACTCTAATATATATATGTAAAAAAAAGATTTTATTATTTTCAGAACAAATAGAAATATAGAGTCAAATGGACGTTGCACTCGCATTTCATTTTGTTTTCATTTTGTTATCATATATTACATTATTAATTAATATTAACCTATATACATACAGTTCAATTGCCTGTAACGATTCAAACAAATGGGTTCATTGACTTACAATGTACATAATATAAATATTTTATAAAAAAATATCTGTTTAGAGGATAGAAGTTATGAAATGTCATAATATACACGTGTAGTTTATCACCTGCTCCAAATAAAACGACTCGTATATTTTTTACATAAATATACCGAAATCGCCATCGTGACGAAACCTACATGTCTGAGAAGATCTAACTAGTTTTCAAAAGACGTGCGAAGTCTATCAAGCTACATTAGGCCAGCCTAGTGGACTATGGCCTCCCCCCCCAACGTGCGTTCACCTTGTCGTGGTGGGGAGGCTCAGTAGTGCCCGGCAACCCAACCGGGCGCGAAGCCAAGAAACGCACAGGGAGGTGGCCCACTTCGGTGGGCGGTGTACCATGCGGGTTGCTCCTGGTACTTCTCTGATAGCAGAGTGGACCTTAGAGCAACCCCGTGGTTGTTGTGGTCTGCTTCGGCAGACCTGCCGTCAGGGCGTCGTAGTTGAATGCGTAAGCGATCCTGCGACGCCCCATTATGACGGGGGAAGGCTTTGTTGGGTTTTAGTGGGTAGTACTGGTTTTGTCGGTGAGTCCCACACCTCGTGCGTAAATGCATTTCCTAACGTTAAAAAAAAAAGTGGACTATGGCTTGATTCCCTTCGTATCGACGGTGGGCTCATGCCCAGTAGTAAGATGTTAAAAGAGCTGAATTGTTACGATTTCTCGAAGATCAGCAAATCTGACTAAGAGTTTGTAATCTGTTGAGATCGCCATAGTATAATTCATAATAAATTCTGTTCGATCTGATCTTTACTTAATAATACACTTTCGGAATGAATGAACGTTTTTGAAGTCGGAGTGCTTTGATTTGTATTGGCTGGCACCGACTTCGAAATTATCTGATTACGTATCTATTCTAAAAGAAAACGCTCGTTTAGTTATTTTTGTACTTTTTAGTGCCGTTGTGGAAGTCGTTTCTTTTTCAGTTTTTTTTCCATTTCTAGTGTAGACGTAATAAGCAGGTAATTTGTAAGAAGAAACTTTTTTAATAGCATATTCGATTAAGATATTTATTTAAAAACTAGCATTGCTCGCGGCTTCACCCGCGTTCAGATGACCAAAAACCAAATTCTTAGGTTTTACATATTAGTATACTCTTATAATGCAATTTTAGTATTTTTCCTCAGAAATGAGATATTTTCGTGCGGTAAAAAGTATCCTATATGTCGACCCGGATAACCAGCTATCATCATAAAAATTTCATCAAAGTCTGTCCAGTGGTTTTCTCGTGAAGCGATAACAGACAGACAGACAGACAAACAGGCAGACAGACAGACAAAAATTCTAAAAACTATAGATTCGGACTCTGTATCGATAATAATGTCTATTTCAATTAGATTTTCCAAAAAATATTTGATGTACAGATTCGACTTAGTTACCATTTTATTACCGATATTTAAATAACGAATTTTACGACCGATTTCGAAAAAAATTAAATGGGACCACCTGGGAAGTATACCTTCCCTTTGAAACAAAAAAAGAATTTTCCAAATCGGTTCAGACGTCTTCGAGTAATCGGTGAACATATATAAAAAAAAGATTTCGACGAATTGACAACCTCCTCCTTTTTGGAAGTCGGTTGATAAGAAAGAGAAAACCGAAATTAAATATATAAGTCACAATTAATATCTATTACAAATACTATGTAAGAATCGTTATTATCTATACAAATTCGTGGTTCAGCGCTAAAGGGTATAAATGCAAAGTGATGTCTTTGCATAGAGTTCTGGTAAAAAATAATGTTCACTGTCTAAATAAATAATAATAAATATATAAATATATCTTTACTGTATGATGTACCTAGAGTTATTTCTTTTTTAATAAATCTTCCTACAAATGGTACACTATGATTATATACGCAGTGGTACTTCTGTGGTAGGCTTTCGCTCCGATAGGTAAATTAAATATTCTGTCCAGTTCTTCTTGTATTTTTTTCTTCGTGACAAAATGTATATTTAGAAATGTAACATTATACATTGTAGTTTGTATTATTTATCCTACCTATTTATCTGCTCACGTATTTGTTCTGTTAAAAATAAACTAAAATATTTTTATGCATACGTACAAATTTTTTTATGAACTATTTACTCTCTTTATGAGTTATAACTTTAGAAGCATAGGTTAGCAAAATTTTAATTTATTTTGTGATGCTTGTGCCTTGGCTAGTTTTTTTTTTATTTAAATTGTTTAATCGTTTCACTATGAATTTTTATGGTTGAATGGAAAACTCGACATATATTAACACACCACATGTGCAGGTTAATACAGTACTCATTTACGCAGGAGATATTATGATGCAAAAATGTGTGCAGGTACAATTGCGCTCTTTCTTCCAATTTTATTGCAGGACCGACGGCTTTGTGTGCTCCGCTAAGTACAGGCGTGTAACACTGCTAAGTTCCAAACTTAGGTTTCTTACTTAGATCTTCAATTACTATGTTTGACCCGATCCAGGACTCGAACCCAGAACCTCTATTTCTGTTGCCGTACGTAGTTATGTATAGAAGACAAAATTATTATGATTATAGTTACCTGCACTTCAGGATGATTTGCAATCGTTATAATCATAAATGTCATTGCAGTGGTAGTTGTGTCATATCCCTAAATAAATAAGTATTCATTTAAATTATATTATGGTAATAATCATATTACCTTTATATACCATTTGCAATAGCAATTAATGAAAAAATATATTTCAATCTATACAGATAAATAAAATTGAAGTTTCTGTTTGTAATAGGAAAATAACGGCTCTTTAATAAACACTTATATAAGTATATATGGTGCTTATAAGGTAAAACATTTTTTTAATTTTTATCTGTCTGTTTGCTCCGGCTAATCTCTTGGCCGAAAGAATTTGACCGATTTTGACGGGACTTCACAAAATGATTTTTTTAGAGAGTTAATATATTACATACATTATTTAGACATTCGAATTTCGAGTAGTATTACAACTACAAGCTGACGATCCCTACGTAATATATGTAAACAGTATTAAGTATTGGTATTAGTTTAAGTAGTCTTAAAATCTTCGCAAAAGATTTAACTAATTGTACTTTTACGTTTTGACAACACTACTGCCATTACTTATATAAATCGAATGGGTGGAACACAATTTCCAAATCTCACAAAAAAATCAAAGCAGATACCTATGGCAGTGGTGTGAATTTCGGAACATTCAGATCGAAGACAAATCCAACAAATCAAAGATCATGAAAATCGGTCCTACAGTTCTTGTGTTATAAATAGTGTAGCTAACCCTACTTTGCTTTATAACCTAAGTATAATGATTTTAAACATATTAAGCACGCACGCATGCACCACAGACCACATACAATAAATAAAAATAAATATCAATTTTTATTATTCTTTTTTTAATCAATATATAACATCTTATAGGTTGTCCCATTTCTTTCGCATGTCTATTTCGACTCGATATGTCAAGACGATCATTAGTCACAATTTTATCCTTATTAAGTGGTCCACGATAATTAATAAATTTATGACATTTATAATCGTTTAAAAATAAAAGTATCTTGTTTTTCCAAAGAAGTATTCATGAGTCTCAAATAAGATGTAAATATTTTAATAAAAAATATTTATTACTTAAAGTACACACTTTAATAAACATATTGCACCATTTTACTACAAAAAATTCATGAACTTGTAGCGTAAAAAAATATTAATCTAGAAATGAAAGTAATTTTGTTAAACTGCGAATCTCATGTCGCCTAAGATGTCCACTGCCACTTGTAAATTCTAGACGCTGAGAAATATCCTTCCCTCCCGCCGCCATGTTTTATGAATGGACACGAAAAAGGAAAAATAATTGGCTCTTTTTCAGGTAATAAAATTTGTACAAATAAAAAAGAGATAATTGAAACAATAATATAATTGGTACCATAATTAATAATGATCAGTATTATCAAAAACTTATTAACAAATAACTACTTCCTTGAAGAAAATTTGACATAAACGGGACTTTCAGTACGTAACACTAAATCGGTTATAAAGATCAAATCTGATGTTTTTGTTACAGGTTCCAATCGAAATTTACGAATTAGTCCTGACATCATAACTTTCATCTCCAACAGAGCAAATTTTTGACCTGTAACAAACATAAAAAAGTCTTTATTGATTCTAAAGAGGCACAAATAGCCAATAATTTTTATTGTAGCTTATACTTATATTATTTACTAGCGGCTCACCCTCGCTTCGCTCGGGTTCGTCGCTAGGTACGTTTTAAATAGATATAAATAGTTATTAGCCAGCGTTAGCCATATAAATTTAATTTTTTTTTCGTTAATTTTTCATTTTTTTCTTTATTAAAACCTTCCGTGGACCTTAAGGGACATACAAAAAAATTTTGCTGAATTAGTCTATCCATTCTTGAGTTATGCGCTTACCAACATTTATTTTTATTTGTAAAGAAGATTAATAGCTTATACTTATAGATATGATACACATTAAAACATGTGTATTATACAATTATGTTTTAACGGTAATTCGTTCATTTGAACATATAAAACTACTTATTTAAATAATGTCATATTGATTGATTTTGAATAAATTACTTTAAAATTTATGGACAGCATCACTCAACTGTTTAATGCAGCACATGAATATTGTACATGATTAGCATGTCAAACCAAATCTGCGATATCTAATACCATTCATCATGATACTATCATATCATAAGTTGCCAATAGGCAACACTGTATCAACTAGAACTTTCAATAATATAATAGCTATGTCTAATGCCTAGTCCTCCTGACCGATTCCGGCCACGGCGGCCAATCTCATTTAAGACTAGCCAACTGCTCAGGAGATATTATAGTACACAAGTGTGCGCGCAAACACAAATGCACTCTCATACTCCGATGGGACGACTACTCGACACAACCGGTAAGAGTTAAGGCGTAGGACCGACGGCTTTACATGCTCTCCGAGTTAGGGGGCGAAACACCGCCAACTTCCCAACTCCGGGCTGTTACTGAGGCTTACTTTACAGAAAGACCCAATGTCTAAACTTGGCCGGACCCGAGACTCGAAACCAGAACCTCCCTTTGTGCAGCCGTACATGCTAGCTCCTACACCATCGAGGCAGTTGCTAATGCCTTTTTTTTAGTGTCGGCAAATGCATTTACGCATACCACCTGATCCCCCAGGTGGTGATGTGGGGCTCACCGGCTAGAAGAGCCGGTACTACCCACTAAAACCCAACATTCCCCTCCCCTCCGCTTTAATGGGACGCCGCAGGATCGCTTGCGCATAACTACTACAGCCCCCCGGCGGCAGGTCTGCCTAAACATTAGGCAGACCACCAAACCAATGGGGCTGCTCCACAGTCCACTCTACTACGGCAGAGAAGTACCCGCAGCAGCCCCATTAAAACCTCACCGCCCACCGAAGTGGGCCACATTCATTCGGCTGCAGAGGACAGGAAGAGCGGCAACGAAACACCGACACTCCTCTTCCCCTGCAGCCCCACCAAGCCATTCGGTCCGCACCGGATTTCTCCGGTACCACCCGCCCCTCTAAGCGGGTGGCCTTCCCCGATCCGCCACCTGGGGACGCGCCCGGTAGGAGTTGGCTTCTCCCCCGGGGGCAGTTGCTAATGCCTAGTATTCATGATTTGACTTTTATTTTTTCACGTTTTAAAATAGTTTGCTTTCATTTCATAACTGGGTATGGGACAATGAAATATGTAGAAAAAATTGCAAATGTGTATTTAGACAAAGTAAATAAAAAAAATACCTATACAGTTTCGATACCCGGCACTAAACGGTATATAGGAGAATGGATGTCTTGTACTGATATTTTCTGGTAAGAATCTTTCTGGAATAAAACGTTCTGGTTCAGGAAATGAATCGTCACGACGATGCACATCATATATACAAATGCAGCATGTAGTTTGAGCAGGAATAGTGTAGCCACCTAAAATTGAATTTCATTTTTATTTATATAGAAAAAACTTGCTTTTTACAGAATAATGAAACCTTCCTTAGATGTCTATACGAGTATGTTTTTGTGTAGGGAACAACATGTATTGTGTATTTAGCGGCGTTGTTCTGTCTATCTCGATGTTGAATTGGTTTGGAAAAGATCTATGACTATTGTATCATAATTTACAAAGTTATATACTTTGTTTTATAATTTAACGGCTATAAAGTCCTAAAGCGGAACCATAACATGACTACACGAACGGGCAATGAAATATAATGAAAAGATTGATACATTTGATATATCAATAACTTACTTAAAACCGTATCTTTAGTCAAATATCTCATTATCAACGGTGCACTAGGATACAGACGCATCGATTCCTTAATACAACATTCCAAGTACTTCATATCGCTCAAATCCTGCGACGTGGGTGAACGATCAGAATCGCCAAAAATCTGCTGCATTTCTGCATAAATTTTATCCTGAAAAATTCAATTTAATTACATACATATTATGTAAAAAATATTAAGGATTCTACACGGTATGATTTTCATTGTATATAATTTCGTTTTTTTTTTATTTCATTCACTGTGAAACGTGTACTGTATTAAATATATTTATTTACTTGTATCTCTGGTTCATTTGCCAGGGTCATCACCATAAAAGTCATTGCTACAGCAGTTGTATCGTGACCCTAAAAATAATAAATATAGTTAAATTACTATAAAACCATACCTTACATACATGCATATCATGCAAAAACCATAAACTAAAGCATGCAAAGTAACATATAATGCTAAAGTATTTTTTTTCTAAATTCATGGGTTGTAAGCTCTTTCCCCCAGATGTGTTTTCATCTAGTTGTGGTGGAGGGGCTTATTAGCGTCCGGCAACTCAGCCGGGCGCGAAGCCAAGAGGCACATGGGTAGGCAGCATATAGCGATGGGTGGTGTACTATGCGGCTCCTGGTACTTCTCTGATAGCAGAATGGACCCTGGGAGCAAACCATTAGTTGTTGTGGTCTAATTCGGCAGGCCTGCCGTTGGAACTTTGTGGTTGAGTGCGTAAGCGATGCTGACACGCCCTATTAAAACGGGGAAGGTTCCGTTGGGTTTTAATGGTTTCGGGGCGTCGCGGTTGTATGCGAGAGCGATCCCGTGGCGTCCCACATGGCGGCAGGGGGGAGAAGTTGGGTTTTAGTGGGTATGCCGGTCTCATTAGCCGGAGAGTCTCCACATAACCACCCCGGGGAAGTCGGGTGGTATCCGTAATAGGATTTCCCAACTATAAAAAAAAAAATGGGTTTTATTGGTTAGTACTGGCTAGCAGTAGTGAGTCCCACATGTATGCGTAAATGGACCTAACAACAGAAGAAGCTTTGTAAGAACCCGAAAAGGAGGATGGGGAACGAGCAGTGAATGAAGAACTGCAAAGTTTTAAAGAAAATAATGCATGGGAAATTGTGAATCCACCAAGTGAAGTTAGTATTTTAAAAGTGTAAATGTATTCTAAAAAATAAATTAGAAAGTATTATTATTGTACGTTATGGGGGTAGACTGGTGGTTAAAGGTTATTCTCAAAAATATGTTCTAGACTATGACGAGACGTTTGCACTATCAGTTTAGTCGAATTTGGATGTGGTTCATCTCGAAGTTAAAACAGCTTTTTTAAATGGTAACTTGGATGAGACAATATACTCGTACATATATGCAGAAGCTTCATAGTTTAATTTGTTCTGATGATAAAAATATTCTAAAGCTTAAAAAAACTACATACGGTCTCAAACAAACTTCCAGGGCTTGGCATAAAATGCTAGATGACTGTATTTTGGCAGATGGCTATTATAAATCTAAGAGCTGTTTATATACAAAAGTTAGTGGTCGGACAGTAGTCACATGGTATGTAGTTGATTTTTTCGTATTTGTCTAAAAGTGAAATGAAATATCTGAAAGAAATGTTAAGCAATAATTATTAAAAAAAAATTTAGATCTAGGATGTTTTAAACAAGTCATGATATGTCAGTTAATTTTGATAAAAAATTATTTTTTATTTTTAGTAGGTTATAATGTGTTACATGTATATATGTACATACACATATCAAAGAGCTTGTTTAGAGTGGGATTGTTATAAATATCAAAAGGTTGGTTTACAAATTATTATTTTTTCCTTTGTGACAGCTAAAATATATTTTGCAATAAAAACTTTTTATTTATCTTGGAGGAATGACGAATAGCGTGTCAGTCAGTTTTTTTTTATTTTATTCGAATTCTTCTCAGCGAACCCTTTCATTTGTTAACCATATCATGGGGATGCATAAAAAACATAGTCCGCCATCTTTGTAACGTCCGCCATATTGGATTGAAAATGGCAGCATTTAGGTAATCGTGCACTCACGAGAACCAAACGTGTGTGCCAAACTTCAGTTCAATCGTACACTGGGAAGCGGGTCTTTAACTTGCATGATTTGATTACAGACAGACACCGGGACAGGTGAAACAAATTAAAATCTTGTAGGTAAAGGAGTAAACAGTATTGACAAGGAGTAAAAGAGATGAGTAATAACATTTTTTTTATAACAATATTTTAAAAATGTTTAATTGACAAATGTAACGTAACATAATTATTACACATGCAAAGTTTTACATAATATCGTTTTGGTATATTGTTTTTCCCAAACATAACGTTACCTTGCACTTGCGCAGATAACTTTACTGTATTTTACCGGTATTTAAGTACCTGGGGAAGCGGGTTAAAATCACATGTGAAATTCGCCTACCCGTATTTGGCCAGCGTGGTGGACTATGGTGATCTCCCTTATATTGGGAGGTCTGTGCCCAGTGGGACTTAAAAAGGGCTAAATAGATAGGTAAATAAAATAATAATGAAAATATAAATAATTATAACAAATAAATTGAATTCTGGCTCAACTATATTACTAGTACATAACGTAAAACTAACTATATTACTAGTATATAACGTAAAACTAACTAAACTACCTCGGTGGTGTAGTGGCTAGCTTGTACGGCTGTCCTGGGTACGAGACCCGGGTCGGGACAAGTTTAGTTATTGAGTCTTTCTGTATAGTAAGCCTCAGTAACAGCCCGGAGTTGGGAAGTAGGCGGTGTTTCACCCCAGTCCCTCGGAGAGCACGTAAAGCCGTCGGTCCTGCGCCTTAACTCTCACCGGTCGTGTCGAGTGGTCGTTCCACCGGATTATGAGAGTGACAGGAATAGAGAGTGCAATTGTGTCTGCGCGCAAACTTGCGAACTTTTATATCTCCTACGCAGTTGGCTAGTCTCAATGAGATTGGCCGCCGTGGTCGGAATCGGTCAAGAGGACATTATTATATATAAAACTTATAGGCATTAATGAGCTTACCGCAAACATGAAAGTATCTACTTCTTCTCTAATTCCATCGTTGTCAATTAGGCCATCTTTTTCATTTTGCAAAAGCAAATCAAGCATTGCAAATTTTTCATTATTTTCATAGTTCCCTTCCGTATAATTTTTTTTTTAAATTTTCTTGAAAATCTCTCCTTCGGTTTCTAATGATAGTATTAGTAAAATTGTGTAATTTTGAGACGGCTTGGTTCTCTTCTCTTGCAATGTTAGTCCATTCATATATTAGTTTATAATGTAACCATACTTTTGCCAATCTGTTGCCTATACATTGACCTATAACGCGTAGGCCATCCAAATATGAGTCTATAGAAGATTGCATATTATCGTGGTCAGAAAATCCCATTGCTGTATCTGGAAGTACATATACATAGTTAGTTATAGCAATATAATATCTAAATTGATCTATGAATCTGAAATTCTGAAATCAAAAATTTCGTTTAAAAATATTTTAATATCAAGCGATTCCATTTATATATGTATTCATTTATATATATATTTATATATATATATATATATATATATATATATATATATATATATATATATATATTTATATATATTTTATAGTAAACTTTTTATCCCGGTGCATTACTAGATAACTTTTCAAAAAAACAACGTCGACCAAACTGTGAGCATAAAGTAGAAAAATATATAATTTAAACTGTATAGTTTATTCGGATCGATACGACTTAAAACTATTTTTTTATTAAAAAAATTAAAAATATTATTATATTACAGAGAACGTTATATACAGTAATATTATATACAGTAATAATTTCTTTAAATATTTATATTAGTAATTGGTAATAATATTTTTAAACAAACTACAAAACTCACCCTACACACTAACCCACACACTCGATCAAAGTACCTAAAATATTACACTTTTATATTCTGAGAAAGGGCATTAGACACATTTTGATGTTTCGATTTTTTAGAATAAGTCAGTGACTTTTTGAACAAAAGAATTCATTATACTGACTTTAAAATATTTATAAACTTGGGTAGGACTTGAAGAGTGGTTTTGTATTATTATTTATGAATATGATTAATTTACCTATAATAGGTAGTTCGGATAAATTACTCTATTATTTAAAAACAAATAGGGACTTTTTGGATTCTTTTTTGATTTCAGGATCTTTTATACCACCTACCACATAAAATGCGTAGTGTCGCATTGCTAATCATCTCTAATACATCCGTCTGTTCTTTTCCAACTTCTTTCTCTATAAGCTTCATAAACTCTTCCGACTCTTCTATAAATGACTTCGTAAATTTTTTCAAAATATTAAAATGAAATGTTTTCGTCAGCATTCTTCTGCGTTGAAACCATTTATTTCCTGTGGCGGACGTGAGGAGAAAATAATAAAGCTTTAATATTAAGCGTTTATTGAAGTGCGTATTGCACTTGCGAGACCAAGCGAGAGACTGTCGAATCAATACATATTCGATCTATAATCTAATGTAATATCTATACTTATATATTATGCTCGTTACAAATCATATTACCTCATGTTACAATAGGTACAATATTCCCCCCTTTTTAAAAAAATAAGTAAAAAATAATATATAAAGTTATTAAGAATATATAAAAATGAATACATTTTAACGCAAAAAAAATCTAAAATGTATAAAATTAAATTCTAAACATAAAATATAGTTTGCAAAAAAAAAAATTATTAATACCTAAAAATATCATAATTACATGCTATTACAGTTTCCTTACATCTATCACAAATTATTTTTTCGAACATGAATTTTTTTACCTATTCAGCATAATTATTCACTGCACTACTCGAAATTATGGGTTTAACATATCAGTATACACTTGCACTTTTTAACTAAGACGTACACTGGCACTTAAAACATTATACTGCAGCAGTTAAATCTGGCATGCTCTGCATTTCCTTCCTTATAGTCTCTCTAAATTTCCTTCGGCAATATCTGTATATTCCAAACGTGATTACCATAAGGATTATTAAAAATAATAAGCCGAAATATATATCAACTTTTAACTCAGAAATTTGCGAAGTATTATTTCCTCCCATTTGGGCGATTATAACTTCTTACTTCTTTTCTTCTTTGCTCTGATTATAACCCATTATTATTATTGGTAATATAATTAGAAAATGTGAATGTGTATAGCTTCACCAAGATGCAGATTTTAAATAAATTGATCTCGGAATCTTACTACTGGCTTGCTGATTCGGCCGGATCGCGTTACTTTATTATTTACATGTGTCTCCTTGTTTGGAATTTCGATACTAGTGCTATCCCGCGTATCAAACTCTTCATTATTATTTAATAAAAATGCTGGCTTTAATCTATCAATAGAAACAGTACATTCTTTGTCTGCCATTAATATTTTAAAATGTTTTTCTTTACGGTCTAATACTTTGTACGGTCCTGAATATGGTGGATTTAAGGACTTACATAATTTATCGCACCGTAAAAATACATGAGAGCATTTTTGCAATTCAGGGTGAACAAATATATTTTTCTGTGTTTTCTCTCGTTTGGGTACTGAACAAATATTACTTATATGTTCTCTCAGTTGCTTTAAAAATGTCTCGCTATCGGAATTTAGTGGCGTTGTAGGCTCAAAAATCTCCGGGTAGCTTAATTGGACTGCCATAAACCATCTCCGCTGCACTGGTTTGCGTACAATCTTTTAGGCTTGCTCTTAAGCCTAGTAGTACAGTTGGTAACTCCTGAACCCAATTATTGTTTCCTCTAGTCATTAACGATGCCTTAAGAGATCGATGCCAACGTTCGACAGCACCGTTTGCCTGTGGATGGTACGCAGTTGTTCGAGCTTTCATAATACCAAGGCGCTTAGATAATTGATTGATAAGATTCGACTCAAACTGTCTTCCTTGGTCAGTCGTAATTCGTAAAGGACAACCAAAACGTGAAATCCATCCTGAATATATTTTCTCTGCAACAGCCTCAGCTGTTATGTCTCTTAAGGGAAAAGCTTCCGGCCAACCCGTGGCTCGGTCTAACATCGTAATTAAATATCTGTATCCTTTGTAAAGTGGTAATGGACCAACAATATCAATATGTATATGTTCAAAACGATTGCTTGTGGGAAATTTACCAAAAGGTGATATTGTATGCCTATGTATTTTACATTTCTGACAATCTATACATGTTCGAGCCCAGTTAGCAACATCTTTGTTCATAGAATGCCAAAAGAATTTATCGCATATCATCTTTCTAGTTGATCTTATACTCGGGTGACTCAATCCATGTACGGCGTTGAAAGCCTGCACTCGGAATTCTTTAGTCAAATATGGTCGTGCGAATTGTTTTGAAACTTCACAGTAAATTGATTCTTGACTGTTATGAAGTTGAAACTTTTTAAAACATAAATTTTTAGATTTTAATAAAACTTGTAATTCTTTATCTTTCTCCTGAGCTTCACTAAGAGCATTGTAGTCGATGTATGATGGCATATTAATTTCCGAAATTCGTGATAACGTGTCAGCAACAATATTTTGAGATCCACTAATGTGTTCAATATTCGAACAAAATTGCATTATAAAATCGAAATGTCTTAATCGACGCGGTGTATCGCTGTCTGTATAAGAATTTTTTTTCAAAGCATAAACGAGTGGTTTATGATCTGTGTAGACTGTTAAGGGGCGTCCCTCAATCAAATATCTGAAATGCTTTATAGCCATATAGATAGCAAGTAATTCTCTATCGAAAGCACTATATCGCGTTTGCGCTTCGCTCAGCTTAGTGGAGAAAAATCCTAAAGGCTTCCATGTGTTGCCTTCACGTTGCTGTAATACTGCGCCAATGCAAGTCTTAGACGCATCCGTCATAAGGGCTATATTCGCGTCTGCAGCTGGGTGTGATAGTGTAACGGCGCTGATTAGGCTCTCCTTACACTGTTCAAATGCCGCAATTGACTCATCTGTCCACTTGACTTCTGTCTTGTCATTTTTTCTACAGTTATGTAAAAATATATTTAATTTTGACTGAATCTCTGCTGCTTGAGGAAGATGTCTTCTGTAAAAATTAATCATACCTAAAAAACGTCTGAGTTCCTCGATTGTTTTAGGCCTAGGAAAATTAATTATAGAGCTAACTCGTTGTTCTAAGGGTTTAATACCATCTTTCGAAACGTGGTATCCAGAAACTCGATTTCGTTCTGCCCAAACTTGCATTTTGAAGTGTTAATAGTTAAGCCATATTTATTAAATCGCTCAAATACTAGTCTGAGGTGTTCCTTATGTTCGGATTCAGATTTCGACGCTACTATTACATCGTCGATATATACAAAAATAAAATTAAGATTTTGAAGTACGACGTTATTTAAAAATCTCTGAAATGTTTGAGCTGCGTTTCTTAGCCCAAACGTCATCCTTGGGAACTCAAAAAGACCGAATGGCGTAGTGATGGCTGTCTTCTCTATGTCTTCACTATTGATGGGAATGAAATGATAGGCACGTGTTATATCGATCTTCGAAAATATCTTTTTACCCGACAGTAAATATGTAAAATCTTGTAAGCGTGGAATCGGATACCTGTCAGGCTTAGTGATGGCATTTAATTGCCTGTAATCACCACATGGTCTAATACCACCATCCTTTTTCGGGACTACGTGGAGTGGACTTGCCCAACAGCTCTTCGATGGTCTACATATGCCTACGTCTTGCATGATTTCAAATTCCGATTTTACCTTCTGATATTTGTCCGGAGCTAAAGGTCTGGGTCGCGCAAATACAGGAGGTCCTGTAGTCTCAATATAATGAACAACAGAGTGTCTTGGTGTATCTTTGAAACAAATAGGTTTCGTTATATCGGGATACTCTAACATTAAGTCGTAATATTTATTATTTATATCCAACGTAGTTATAGATGACTCATCGTGTTGCACTATCGATGTTATAGTATCTATATTTGTTATTTGATCAATAAGTCGACGACGATATAAATCTACTATAAGCTTATGATAGGTTAAAAAGTCTGCGCCTAATATTGGCTGTTTAACGTCCGCTAACACAAAAGTCCACCGAAAAGGTCGGCGTAAATTTAAATTTAACACTAACGATTTAACACCATATGTCTTTATTTCACTGCCATTAGCTGCATAAAGTTTATATTTATCACTAACTACATTGTCATAGAGTCGTTTTTTGTACGGTAACACTGAAATATTTGCACCTGTGTCCACAAGAAAACGTAAACCACTTTTGCAGTCGGTTACGCATAAACGGTGGAACGGCGATATGGTGCAGACATCCACCCTTGGCTGCACCTTGTCTAGTTTTCCGGCTGCTCCTTCCAAGGACATGGCTCAACACATTTCTTTGCTTTAACGCCGAAACGGTGATGATAGAAACATAGCCATTTCGATGATTCGGACCTGCGGCGTCGTTGTTCGGATACTGAACGTCCGCGTGATGTAGTACGTCGCCTCCAATTACATCGAGTACTTCGATACCTTGGTCTCGATCTCTCAAGTTCCATGACCTTCACACTTAACTTGGCTATTTGTGACATAAGAAATGATGTATCATCCGATTTTTCAGCTTGACAATTTACTTCAGCAACATGTAAAGGTCTCGTGGTCTCCATAATTTTGTCAGCGATAGCTGCAAGGTTATCTAGATCCTTTACCTCGCTAACTGCCAACACCGCTCGAACTGACGTGGGTAAATGTCCTTGCCACATGATACACAGCGTTTCATCAGGTATCTTATTACGAGCCAAATCCCGCATTCGCCTAAGAAGCTGAGAAGGCTTCTGATCGCCAAGTTCCATTCAACTTCTGGAACTGTCGGTTCTCCGACTCTTCGTAAACAGCGAGCAAACGATTTTTCAAGGTCTCATATTTTATCGCTAACCTGCTCGATGACTTGCTTGCCCAATTTCGGAAGCAACAAGTTAAACTTCGCTTCATCGCCTAATTTTTGAGAAGCTAGCACCGCCTCACACTGGGCGAACCATAATCGCGGCTGGTCGCACCAAAATTCCGGTATTCGCGATGATACGCTGATTGTTGCTAGTTCTGAACCTTCACGTAAATTTTCCTTCGCTTGTAAGACTGGTTTAGAATTGGTAGCCATCCTATATTTGTTCTTCAGTCAGGTGTTTTTTTTTAGTCGGGGTCGCCAATATGTGGCGGACGTGAGGAGAAAATAATAAAGCTTTAATATTAAGCGTTTATTGAAGTGCGTATTGCACTTGCGAGACCAAGCGAGAGACTGTCGAATCAATACATATTCGATTTATAATCTAATGTAATATCTATACTTATATATTATGCTCGTTACAAATCATATTACCTCATGTTACAATAGGTACATTTCCTTAAAAAAAACTATTTATAATCCAAATTTTTTATAATCCAAAATTTTATTTTAAATGTGAATAAACTGACCATTGCTGATTAGTAATCCTTGTCTAAGCCATTTGGTTAAGTATGTATATGGATGTTCTTTATAGTTATATTCAGTTGAGGAAAGTATTTTCTGAAAAAATGTCGATGTTAAAAAATAGTTACAATAAATTTACGATGCCTTTATTAGGTAAAAGTACAAAACTAAATGTAAGATGCATTAGTGTATTTTATACGATATAAAAACTTGTCGCGAGATTTACCTATTTTAAATGTTATACTCTTGTTTATCTACACAGGTAAATCTCGCTACAAGTTTCTATTACATATAAATTGTGTAATGTAATAAATTGTTGGGTTTGATTTAATTTAAAGTTTATTTTCTTCTTTTTAGAGCATTTAGTTAAAAGTTTGCTTTTAAAAATGTTTTTTACTATTAATTATTTTTTTAGTTTTTATTTGATTCGTATTCTTCTCAGCAAACCCTTTCATTTGCTATCCATGTCATGGGGGTGCATAAAAAACATAGTCCACCATCTTTGGGAGTCTGCCATATTGGATTCAGAATGACGGTTAATTGAAAAAAATGTAGTTTACAAAGTAAAACTTATCGATTTTTCCATTTTTTTAAATTTTCAAGGGTGTTTTTACACGACGACTATACAAATTTTAAAAAGTAGAGTTTAAGACGAAAAGAATGAGCCCTATTTGAAAATTGAACAACTTTTTTTTAATGTAAACGTACACTTGAAGTGGGGGTGATTGTCAGCCTCTCGAGGTCATAAAACATACTTTTATCGGAAATAGCAAAACATTTCAATTTCATTTTTTTTTTAAATATTATATTTATTTCAAAGATTACATTCCCTTAGTTTCATGAAAATCAAAAGATTATTCTAGAAATTAAAAATAAAAAACCAAGAAAAAGCTAAATACAGAGTTTTCTGCAAATATCTCGAAAACTTTCAGGTTGATTATTGTAAAAAGTGTTATTTATAAAAGTTATAGATTTTTACTATACCTACAATTTTGTAGAAAACATTTTTCGATAGAACGTCACAGTAAGCCGGAAATTAAAAAAAAAAACAAATTTTTCGGGGGAAGCTAGGCATCGGGGACATTTTACGAATTTCTATTCCTTATATACCTGCTAACATTTTAAAATCATAAAACTTCAATATTGTTTATTCTCATAAAAATAAACGGATTCGGATTGGTCTGTAATGGCAGGTTCGAATTGTATAAAACTAGTAGAACCCGCGGCTATGCCCGCGTTGAATCTACAAAAAATAAACTTTTTGGCATTATGTTATACAGTATGTATTTATATAATACTACCAGAACCCGAGGCTTCGCTCACGCTAAAACTACAAAAAAAATCTCTAAATAGGTATTTTATACAAACTGTCATCCCCTATTATACTTTCTTATAGGATGACTTTCGAAAAATGCTAAAACTATCTCTACACAAAAAATCACGCCAACCCGTCACTCCGTTTCAACGTGAAAGAAGGACAAACAAACAAACAAACACACTTTCACATTTATAATATTAAGTATGGATGTTGCAATATAATAGGAAAACAATATTTTTATATGTATGTTAGTACATATAAAATTAAGAAGTGTTAATTGATTTGAATCAACACAGTATTTAAATTAGACTAGCGGTACGTTTCAACGGCTAGTATGGATATCCCACAGAAACCGTACGTTTTTCTAGGATAATAAGTAACATAATTTGTGCTATTCGAGACTATAATTAATCTATCTCTGTGCAAAATTTCATCCAGATCCTTTCAGCCAGAATATGGAAACGGAACCAAAAATGGGAATTATTGAAAATTTTGAAGCGAGAAAGCAATTACACGTTACTCGTTAATTAATTATTATGTGTCTCTTATACCTATTGGTGTATCGACAAGAGCGTAAGGCGGCCGCTATAAAACTCGAAACAGGATACAACAGAGACGAAAAATATGTAGATAATGGCATTCATTCAGTTAATGTATCTAAATTATTGTATACTTAAATTTTACTTTACCTGCAAAATTTAAACCGGCTAATGATCTTTGCAAAAACTTTAATTAAAGTTATGGACAGATCAACCTGATACAGAAATAAACAATAAATACTAGTTAGTGTACTTAAAAAATAATTATATAAATAATTATTAACACAAATAAGTTATTTTTTATAAGTTATAAATAAAGATTATTAGTAAACAAGTGTGCGCGTTTTGTTAAATTGTTTAGAATCTAAATTATTGCTCGTAATCGCTAGCACGTTGGACAAAGTCATGAGTCTCCAGCGCGCACAAATGTCCTGGATGATGATACAAATGCCTGATCTCTTCCTCCCGAGCTTTGGTTCTAGCCCCAGGTCAGACTTACTATACATATTGGGTTTTGTAATCGAAAAATCTTCTGTAACAGCCCTGATTTGGAAGGTTGGTTATATAAAGACCTCGTGCTTGAAAGCGAATCGTGAAAGTTCGTCGGTCCTGCGCTTGATCTCATTGAGATTGATAGTCGTGGCCGGAACCCGAGGCTATTGCTGTTATTATTTTTATTAATATTGAAGTCAATTCATTTTTGAGGGCAGAACTTGATCAATGGCGGTCACACAAAAACAACGACGAGAAAGGGAAAATATGGTAAACGAATTTAAGTTTTTAATATAAAACTTACTAATTGTATAAATTAAGTTCATCACTTCACTAGTATACTTGTGGTTAGGATATATTTTTAAAACACTTAAAATTCAGACTTTATAGTGATTTTAAAGATTTAGCTGTACCAATATTTTGTATTATATCCTACCTACTAGTGACGTACAGTGTCGATTCACTCGGTTGTCTCTAGGTCTGCGTCGTATGGTAAGGTTTTAAATAGATAAAAAAAAGTTTTTATTAGATATATATATGCTGTTGTGGAATTTTCTGTGGGCCTTTTTACAACCTATAATATTGTACTACATTGTTTTGATGTACCTATCTCTTAATGTCAGCGATCGTTATGTAAACTTAACGAAAATAACTTTTTTTGACAAAACAACGTGGAGCAGACATTTTATACTTAATATTTATAAATTATATACACAAACCTGTACAAAACACAAAAAAAAATATATACAAATCTCACTCTTTCTATTAGTGAAAACCTTATCAAAATCATTGCGTACTTATGAAGAAGTAAGCAGGGAAACAAAGACAGACAGCAGCTCTTTGTTTTATACTATGTAGATTGTAGAAACTAGGTACAAGATATATGAGCGACTTAAGATCGAACTAAATTTGTATTCTTTAACTTCAGAAATATCTGATTAGGTATTTATAGTAGATGAAAACCACTTTCAGATATTTTTTACTTTTTATTAGACAATAAAGATCGATTTTTAAGGTTTGTTCAAGATTTTATTTTTATGCGCCTGGAAGGATTTTCTTTATTTTTTAATAATTATATATGTATAGATTAAAGTTTTACCAGATAAATTTTATAGAATAGTCTAAGCAATTATTAAGGAGAACTTACTTCAATGTCGTTTGGGTTGGTTACGTTGACTATTCGAATGTCCAATCCATGAATTTGACTCAATTCGCCATATTTCTTCGGTAAATATCTCTGGTACGCAAACAGTTTGTCTGAAAATTTTAAATTGATCTTTTTGAGGTAGAAATAATTAATGCTAATAATAATTTAATAAAATAACACGATGTGCATAAAACGAGTTAAGAATCGGAGATGCAAGTCTATTTAGGAGGAAATGAGCTTCCACTATCCACTTCTTGACTCAATCATCAGATCAGCTGTTTGGTTGACAGACGGACACACGGACAGATGAACGGACAGACAGACAGAAATGATGACATGCAAATTGTTTGTGTTTGTTTATCATAATAAACTATACAACAGATAGGGTCTGTACAAAAGTGTATTTTATGTGTTTGTTTAATCCCAGGCCCTAATCATTTATTTTCCAAGATAAATAATAAAAAATATATGAAAACAGTTGGAAAAAAATATAAGAAAAAATTATGAATGTTCTATTTTATATTACACGCGTATGCACTAAAAGTATTTTACAAAGCTTAAGCGACATGAAGTGCAAATATTATTTAAGTTCTTCATGAATTCCTTTTGAGGTTCCTAAGGGAAAAATAGAGCCATTTCAAAAATATAAACTTAGCAATTTTTTGAAAACTGAAAAATAGTAGAAATCCTGAGTAAAAATTGATTTATAAAATAGTTTACTGAAATATTATAAAAGCTTACTTAAATATTACTCTATTCACCAAAATTAATAATTTTATAATTAATAAATTTTAAAAAAGGCTCACCTGATGGCAACGCGTATTTGAGAGAATTTCCAATTATCGGCCATCCCGCTGGACCAGGAATTTTGTTAATTAATCTTGTAGTTCTATTGTAGCGATGGTATAGAGCAGTCAATGCAATGGCCAAAAACGTAATTATAAACGCGTACAAAAACATTTTGGATCTAAAATTTTAATCATCAGAATATATATTATGTAAATATATTTCATGTCACTGAAACAATTGCTAAAGTGATTGAAAAAATATCAAACCCTAACACACGGCGTAAGCAAATGGCTATGATAATGATAAGATATGGGCCACTGTAAATTGTTTTGAAAACTACCAGAAATTATAAAATTGAACTTTAATTTATTATGAGAATATTCGAAATAAAAAAATACAATTAAAACTCATGATAAATACGTATAATAACTCACTATTTATAAATGATTTTAGTTTTTTATAGTAAATAAGACGTAACTGTTGTAATCAACTACTTTGGCTAAAGCACGGTAATGTAATGCATACAGTATTGCAACTCGGCCCTGTCCTTGAAATAATTACCTACAGCCGAGCGGCACGTACCCACGCGACAGGGCTGCCCGCCGGCCAGTATTTTAATTTCATCTACCTACTTGAGTGTCTTTCTAATTTTGTGATCTCAAATATTATATTTTAATTTAAAAAATATTATTAGTAGATTTAATTAAAAAATCTCAAATTTATAATGGTGGTATGTGACCCTTATAAATTTGAGATTAAAAAATGTTTGCACCTCGACTGAGTTAATTAATTATTTCTTATTTTTAAAACATACGATGTCTCGATACTTTTTTGTTTGACATAATAGCGAATTTACGGGAGGAATAAAATGTTTATTTTTGTATCCAATTATAAAAGTTACATAACATAACCACCTTATAAAATTTTCGTATCCAATTATACGATCTGGCAGCCCCGCACGGTCGTCTACCGGGTGTATACCGAACGCGACGCGTGTAGGTATAACTCGATTTCCGACCTTTTGTATGAAGATGGAATACTGTATGTAACGTTACCGTGGCTAAAGTATCTGTTCAGAATGAATCATATATATTATCAACCGACTTCTTCAAAAACGAGGAGGTTCTCAATTCGGCTGTATTTTTTTTCTCTACAAAAAAGGACATTCTTAATTACTGTGTAAGTATTTTTTGTGTGTGGTATATTTGATTATTGTAAATACTTTTTTAATTTAATAAATAGCTTTTTTAATATATGTTAAGATTTTTTTAATTGAATTTAGCTGTGCTTACATGTTTTGTGTTAAAGAAAATATTAAAATAATTTCTTATTTAAACATTCCTTTTAAGTTTTATAATATAAGTAAAGCTTAAATTTTAAATAATTTTAGAAATTATTTTGTCATCATCATTATTATTATATTGGCTGAAAGATGGCAGAAGCGATAGACCCCTCAAGATTCCATGATTCCGTCTCTCGTGCGATCCTTATCTAGTTTCGTTAAAAAAGTTCGGTTACATTAAGGGAGACTACGATGAAACCTTGTACCTTCCGGTTAGCAGCTACCATTCGACACATTAACCATCCGTAATACCAGCAATATCCTTCGCCTACTGCAGTTTAGAGATTCAAAACGAACTTGGTTCAATTGCGAACCCACTCCCAATAAAAGGGCTCTTATCAATCGAAGTTATTAATGAAATAAAAAAATTCTATTGTATGCGTTCTTTTGAGATCTTCTTAGTAGAATTATAATTTTATCAGAAGTAACACTAACTTCTTATACGCTGAAGACTTTTGCTAAGATCAATTCACCTCAAACATGTACTCGTACATGTGCGAAAGATATAGTTTCCTTGAAATCATCATCATCATCATCTCTCTCCCCATTTCCCAATCACTTGGGGCCGGCGCAGTACATCTTCTATACTGCTGATAGGATTTGGCAAAAGTTTTACGACCGGCCGCCTGCCTGACGTCAACCCTCCTTGGGAATGCTATTTTTATCGCGGACGCCTTGTAATATGCACATTCGATTTTTTTTCATTCGATATTGTTTTCTTTTAAAACATATAGTTTCCTTGAAATCCTAAGTATTATATCAGGTCATTTTAAAGTTACAAGTAGATAACATAATTTGTCACTTTTTATTTAATAATATAATTGATTGGGATTATTTGGTCATATAAATTGGATAAGACATTAAGTTATCATTTTCATCGTTTATTTGTACTGATTACAATTATATATTAATAATTAATAATCTAAACTAATATTATAAAGAGGTAAAGTTTGTGAGTTGGTGACGTTTAGAAGATAGTTTGAGACCTTGGGAAGGATATAGGATATTTTTTATTCCGGAAATCATCCCTTATGATGAAAATGGGGATAAAAGTTTGTATGGGGAATCAACCGGCTTAATAAATCTATAAATGTAATTCTCTACCTTTTTTTTAATAGTTGTGTATTTAATGATGAAATAAACTAAACTTTTAATTTAAATTTAAAAGAAAAATAAAATCCATCCTGCTAACTGCCTGTTAAGGAACCTGGTTTTTCGAAGAATCCACCGGCATACTACCGTGGGTTTTTTTATGATATAAATATTTTATAACCGACTTCAAAAAGGAGGAGGTTCTCAATTCGATTGGTATTTTGTTATGTATGTACACCGATTACGCTGAGTTTTATGATCCGAATTTCGTGATACTTCTTTAGTTTGATGCGGAATAGTTAGTTACTATTTGGTCCCATAAAAATTTAACGTAGTTTGGCCTAGTAGTTTTCAGTTTATGAACATTTTTGTTTGCGTGGACGATATATTTATTTAGTTTGTGTACAGCTTTTTTAGGAGTTTTCATTTAGGTTTATTATATATTATTGTTAACTCGTGTCCAAATAAGTGGGTATTGGCTACCTGTCATTGAAGCGGAGCGAGCGTGCAGAGTAGAGAAACTGAGAAATATTATAACCATCGACTACAGACTACGAAGCAACAACCTATTACAGACACTAAAAAGTAAAAAATAAAAAAAAACTACGTTTAAAAAACCAACTTCCAAAACTAAAAAGTATAAAATAACTTAATAAAGATTTAATTTAATACACTTGTCGTAGCTTATTAATTTGAGGACACTCCCCTGTCTGATACAGCCAGTATCGGAATACTCGTCGACATTTCGAGCAACGTCCCGTGCCGTGGTCAGTTGGAAGGTAAGGCCAAACTGGCCTCAAAGAAACTTGGTGTGCTCAACAAGGCGAGACAGTACTTAACGTCACGTCAGCGTCTTAATCTTTATAATGTTAATGAATGAGTACTGTTCTCGCGGCACGGCTGGGCGGGAGCTCCCCAGTACCAGCTACTTCCATTTGATCGCAATCAACTTAGGGCGATAGGTTATTGACGATCATGCTTTCTCCATCAATAAAAATGAATACATAATACTAAAATTTTTATATGACAACATATAAATTCAATGAAAATTAAAACTGTGGTATTTTTTGTCCACGCGAGCGGAGCGGCGGGCAAAAAGCTATAGCAAAATAAGAATGGCACTTTATATATGTAACTTAAAAAGGATGGACATGCACACATGATGTCTTTTAAAATGACATAGATATAGCCTGTTAGTATGTGTAATTATAAAGACCATATTAGCAGAGTTATGTACATGATTCTAAAGTCGTAAACATTGTATGCGAGCTGTATCATTGTACTGTTTTACTCTTACTTTAGAAATATAGAGTAGAGAAATGTGCAAAAAATAGAGGTAGTGAAGCTTGCTGAATACCTTAAATGAAAATTTGTTTACAAAATATACCTACGTTTAATATCTTTGAAAATCCGGGATATTTTGAGTTACGATCGCTAAAATTAAATTTTTTTCCATATAGCGAACGGAATTCATACATTAAAAGATGATGCGCTACGGCACCCCCGCCGCACGCGCCGCCCGCCGGCCCGCTATCGCGGACGGGAGGGGTAAATGGTAATTAGTTATGTTCGGGACGCGCATTACATTAGACCACGCCGCTCTCTCTTACGCTGTTGTTTTAGATATATACTTACATTTTGTTAAAATCTATTATGCACCCCATGTACAATAATAGTATATAAATTAAAGTGTTAATTAGCAGTTTTCGAATATCATTTCCCTTAGCTATATCCATATATATCTTTAAGAAATAATATGTAACACGAACTTATTTTTGCAAATAATAAAATATGTGGAAAATTTTGCACTTTTCTTTTTATGTTATTTTTTATTTTTAACATATAACACAGACAAAGGAATGCATTTGTTGACGGAGTTCGAGTAGCTTACTGTGGTCATTAGTTAATTGTTATACTTGTATTTTTGCAATATATGGTAATTCGCATTTATCAATTATTTTTTTATTATGAACTAACATTGCTCGCGGCTCTGCCCGCGTTCAGATGACCAAAAACCAAATTGTTAGGTTTTACATATTAGTATACTATCTGTCTGCTGTCTGTCTGTCTGTCTGTCTGTCTGTCTGTCCGTCTGTCTGTCTGTCTGTCTGTCTGTCTGTCTGTCCGTCCGTCCGTCCGTCCGTCCGTCTGTCTGTCTGTCTGTCTGTCTGTCTGTCTGTCTGTCTGTCTGTCTGTCTGTAGCTGGTTATCCGGGTAATCATATAGGAACTTTTTACCGCGGTAAAATGTCTCATTTCTGAGATAAAAACTGCAATGTTAGTACAGACAGGACAGACAGACAGACAGACAGATAGTATACTAATATGTAAAACCTAACAATTTGGTTTTTGGTCATCTGAACGCGGGCAGAGCCGCGAGCAATTATTCTAAAAACTATAGATTCGGCCTGTGTATCAACAATAATGTTTATTTCAATAAGATTTTCCAGGAAATATTTAATATACAGATTAGCCTTAGTTACAATTTTATTATATGCAGAGATGTTTGCTATAATATATTTAGATGTATTAATAAATAGGTATATAAACATTACCCCTTCTTGATAGTATTGTTTCAATTTACGTTTTATATTTTTTCGTGTAATTGTGTTTTTCAATGATATTGGCAATGGCTAATAAGTTTAGGTATAATATATTTTAATGATACTTTTCGGTACATGTTGCAATATTCTGGTAGTAAAAGATTGGAATCGCCCATGCTACGAGTTGTTACGTTTTTTGGATGTCTATACTTGTCTTTTATTAGATTTTCATTAAAAAAGTTATCTATCAGTAGCGTTACATCAGTTTATTCGTAAATGTAAAGCCAGACCTTTTTAACCTGCACTCTCCCCTAAAGTAAAAATCATATTGGGTTTGCGTAAATATGACCATGTTTCTGATTTTCGTTAAAAGCTCAAGTGGCACCCTTGGCTTGTGTTACCCTAAACTTAATATTGCATCCGCGTGACTTTGTCTCATCTCATCTGTTTGACATAAAAATCTTCTTTTTGCAAAGAAGTCGTCATAAAACTCAAATAAATATAAATATTTTAATTCAAAATACTTTACTTCAAATTACACATTTTAATAAACTTATTACACCATTTCATTATAAAAAATCCTTCAAATCTAAAAATTAAAATAATTTTGCTTAACTGCGTACGCCGCGTTGCCTTAGCTGTTCAGTCCCACTCCCCCCCCCCCTCCCCCTCCCCCGCCATCGTATTTAAGAATGGATCCTAAACTTAAGGAATATATACTTAAAAAAATGGCTTTTTTTAGGTAAACAAGTTTGTACAAATAATCATGAAGATATTTAGCATTACTTTATCTCAGATACATCAGTTACTAGACTAGACTAGAAAGCAATATTTGAAACAATTAAAATATTTAAATTTATTATTATTATCAATTAATAATAATTAAAACTACTTCCTTGAACAAAATTTGACATAAACGGGACTTTTACTACATAACACCATATTGGTAATATAGATCACATCTGATGGTTTTGTTACAGGTTCCAATCGAAATTTACGAATAATTCTAGATATTACAACTTTCAGTTCCAGTAGAGCATACTTTTGACCTGTAACATACATAAAAAAAATCTTTATTGATTTTGAATACATTAACATAACATTAATATGTCGCACATAAATACCGTTTGTTTAGTAAATCAAACCAACTCTGCGATATCTATCTGATAAGTAAATATTATAGTCCAGTCAAATAAAGTCTGAAATCAAAATTTGAACCTCAACTTTGCATTTTTGATATAATGTAGTTTTAATGATACAAAAACAATGTGTAAATGGTTTCTTGTCATTAACCCCCGGCAAGGGTTGAATAAAAATTAAAAAAATCGTAGTTAGTAGAAACATAAGAGAATTTTAATTTCCTTGTTCGTCCCTTAAACTTAAAACGTCCATAACTCGGTTAATTTTGACCGAAGGAAAAAATCATGATATTTTTTTTTATGTAAAATTTTAAGCTCTACACATTTTTATTAAGACTTTTTTGTCTAATTTTTACCGTTTTCGAGTAATTGCGAAAAAAACACTTTTGACAATTTTTTTTTTAACCCTTGCCAGGGGTTGCAGACACGAAAACCTTTACACATTGTTTTTGTATCATTAAAACTACATTATATCAAAAATGCAAAGTTGAGTGCCAAATTTTGATTTCAGAACTTATTTGACTGGACTATTATCAGCTTAAAAATAACTGGCGTCTCACCTTCGCTTCGCACAGGTTCTTCCCTAGGTACGTTTTAACGTTTAGTAACTGGACTAGGGTATGTTAAACATTAATATAGTAAATTGCAAATATGAATACAGATAAAGTAAATAAAAAAAATACCTATACAGTTTCGATGCCCAGCACTAAATGGTATATAGGAGAACGGATGTCTTGTTTTGCTATTTTCTGGTAAGAATCTTTCTGGAATAAAACGTTCTGGTTCGGGAAATAAATCGGCACGACGATGTATGTCATAGATACAAATGCAGCACGAACTTTTAGCTGGAATAGTGTAGCCACCTAAAATAAAATAAATATCGTATAACATTCCGTTTCATATCTGCTGGAGTGCGAGTTATTGTTGAATAGAACTGACCTCATAAATTAATTTAAATTATTCTGTCTCACAAACCTGATTCGAAGTATTACAAAGATTTAAAAAAAATCATCCCACCCGTTCTCTAATCATGAGTTTACAAACGAACAAAATTTCAATTTTATTTATATACAAAATAGTTGTTACAATTAAGTACATATTATTGTGCACAAAAATAAAACCTTCCTTATACTTATTATTCCTTATAATTATTAGTATTGTGCATTCATTGGCGTTGTGCTTACAATCTCGTCAATCTCTCGACAATGTTTATTTGGTTACAAAAAGACTATTGTATTATCTATACTTATAATAAAATTGTAACTAAGCCGAATCTGTACATTAAATATTTTTTGTAAAATCTTATTGAAATAGACATTATTATCGATACAGAGGCCGAATCTATAGTTTTTAGAATTTTTGTCTGTCTGTCTGACTGTCTGTCCGTCCGTCCGTCTGCCTGTCTGTCTTTCTGTTACCTCATCACAGAAAAACCAGTGGAGGGATTTTGATGAAATTTGGTATAGTGACATGATAGCTGGCTATCCGGGTCAACATATAGGATACTTTTTACCGCGGGAAAATATCTGATTTTTTAGAAAAAATACTAAAACTACAATGTAAGAGTATACTAATATGTAAAACCAAAGAATTTGGTTTTTGGTCATCTGAACGCGGGCGGAGCCGCGGGCAATGCTAGTTAACTATAAGAAAAAACACACATTTTTTCAAATTTTGGTCTGTCCGTCCGTCCGTCAGTCCGTCCATCCCTCCCCCGTCCGTTCGTCCGTCTGTCTGTTTGTTCCGGCTTTTCACCGAAATGGTTGGACCGATTTTGATGGGACTGGCAGATAGCTGAAGTTATAAGAAGAAACTTAGGCTAATTTTATTGTAGAAAAAGAATCTTGGTTCCACGCAGAAAAAAAATCCATGAAATTGTAAATCCGCGTATCTAGCGACGCACCCGAACGAAGCGAGGGTAAGTCGCTAATATACTTATAATTTTACGACTTTCTTATAACTCTACGATCAGGCAATAAAACAGATATTTAAAACACATTAGATGTATCAATAACTTACTTAAAACCGTATCTTTAGTCAAATGTCTCATTATCAACGGTGCACTAGGATACAGACGTATCGATTCCTTAATACAGCATTCCAAGTATTTCATATCGCTCAAATCCTGCGACGTGGGTGAACGATCAGAATCGCCAAAAATCTGCTGCATTTCTGCATAAATTTTATCCTGTAAAAAATAATTTTAGTTACATAAGATGTAAAAGGTACAAAGATGTACATAATATGATTTTTAATAGATTACATTATATACTAAAATTTATTATTATTTTAATATAATCACAATAAGGTAGGGTATAGTCATAGAGAATGTGCCTGATTGCTATTTGCTAGCCATATATACATAGTAGGTATTTGTATGAGCTTGGTTCAGAACGTTATTTAATTAAATCTCAATTTGTCACGCAGATAATAAAATATTAATTGAATAATATAACAATAAAAACTCTAAATAATAATTATACTAGATGCGTCTCGAGCATTTGCCTGTACAGATGAACCTCTTTTGTCCAATCATTTTAGTGTCTATGTACGAACTTTAGTAGATAAAAACTTTTAGTTATATCGTATTCTCGGAGACACTTGTGCGAATAGACTTGTAAAAATCAAATCAAATCCATAAGAATATTATAAATGTGAAAGTATGTTTGTTTGTTTATCTGTCCGTCCGTTTGTTTGTCTGTTTGTTTGTTTGTTCTTCTTTCACGTTGAAACAGTGTAACGTATTGGCGTATTTTTTGTGCGGAGATAGGAGAGCTGGAGAGTGATATAGGCTATTTTTACCGCGGGAGATTATCTCATTCCCACGGGAAAATACCTTATAATACAACCTACATATATCTATATATACATAAAATGCTTTGTCTTGACTGACTGACTGAACGATCAAATAGCACAGCGTAAACAGCTGGTCGTAGAAACGTGAAATTTAGAGGACATATTCCTTATACAATGTAGGCATCCGCTAAGAAAGGATTTTTCGAAATTCATCTCCTAAGGGGATAAAAGATTGTATGAAACTCTGTTATTGTTAACGCGAAATGCAGGGAAAGTGGTATTTAGCTTTTAGATGGAAAATAAGAAATATATGTATAATATTTTATTTCGAAATTCATCCCTTACAAGGCTAGACGGGGGTGATAAGGTTTATATGGGCAAACAATTATTTATGATCAGAATTACTTGAAACGTGGTGTTAATGTTCATAAATACAATCAAACAAATACGTATTTTAGCATTTTTGAAATTCATCCCATAAAGCTGTCAAATAGGGGATGAAAGTTTGTATGAAACTTTGTAATCGATGCACGGAAAATGGTATTTACTTTTAAAATAAAAACGAAAACAACACAAATATCATTCTTTTTCGAAAGTCATCATAAAAGGGATTGTGCTGTTTATATGAGGATAAAATTGTTTATGATTAGGATTACTTGAAACTTGTTATTAATTGGCAGTAGTAGACTCATGAAGTTCAGTAAAAAATTGTAATAATTTAATGCTGAATAAAATATTTTGAATTTAATGCTCTTCAATACAATTAAATAAACATGTATTGTAGATTTTTTTTTAAATTCAGCCCCTAAGTAGGTAAAACTGGGCGGTGAAGTTTGAGTTGTTAAATAAATTTAAACAGAGTAACATTGCTCAAGTTGTCCGTAAGTGTACGCTTACTATTCCGAATTCAAAGAAAAATTATGTAAGTATAACTTCTCGGTTGGCCACAGCAGCGACAACTATAGCATACCTAGAGCGCGAGCGAGAGAACCTAGCTAGAGAGTATCCTGCTATCTAAATCCTCCTTCTGAAGATTGGTACATCTGCAATAAAACTTTCGTACTTTTCGTAGGTTCGGCAAGTATACTCGTATAATATTATAGTCTATCTATTCCATATTATATTTATCTTACTTGTATCTCAGGTTCATTTGCCAGGGCCATCATCATAAAAGTCATTGCTACAGCAGTTGTTTCGTGACCCTAAAATAATAAATTTAGTTCAAAAATTACTCTAATACCATACTTACAACTTGCGTATCTTGTAGAAAACATAAAAAATACTATATACGCTAACGTTTTAACATTGCAAATGTGTTTTAGGTTAGTAAGTATTTCATTAGTTGCTATTTGTTATGTAAAATTTATCTGTATTTAATACTTAAATAAAACTCTATTTTAGATGAATCACATTGTGTTATGCTTCACGAAGAAAATCCTGATATTATACATATATGTATATATGTATATATATATGTACATAAGACATAGGTCACTATTGTAACGAGCTTACCGCAAACGTAAAGGTATCTACTTCTTCTCTAATTCCATCGTTGTCAATTAGGCCATCTTTTTCATTTTGCAAAAGCAAATCAAGCATTGCAAATTTTTCATTATTTTCATAGTTCCCTTCCGTATCATTTTTTTTTAAATTTTCTTGAAAATCTCTCCTTCGGTTTCTAATGACAGTATTAGTAAAATTATGTAATTTTGAGATGGCTTGGTTCTCTTCTCTTGCAATGTTAGTGCATTCATATATTGGTTTATAATGTAACCATACTTTAGCGAATCTTTTGCTTAAACATTGGCCCAGAACTCGTAGGCCATCCATATATAAGTCTAATGAAGATTGCATATTATCGAGGTCAGAAAATCCCATTGCTGTATCTAGAAGTATTTAATGGTATATAGTGATTAATAATATAGAAATGAAATGACCAAATTGAAAGCTGAGAATTTTAATGATTTGTAATTAGCAATGTAAGCGCCCAAAAATATAGCTAACTGCTAACGCTGGCTAAAGTTTACGAGATATATGAAAAGAATGTAGTATGGAATTTAATATCTTTAAAAGGTCTACAGAAACATTATAAGACTATATTTTAAAGGTAACCCAAAATAACCATTTTTTTATTTTAAATATTACTAAAAAATAATGCTGCAATGCTAGTACTATATAAATCTTAAATTTCATTTAACAATGCTCCCGAACGGATGAACCGATTTTGATTTTGTTATTTTTTTGTTCAAAAGGTGAATTAGTCAGGAGTGTTCTTAGCTATGTTTGATGAAAATCGGCCCAACATGGCCACCACCACAAAATGGCGAATTACATGTCGGCAGTTATTAAATTTTTAATTTAATTTATATATTTAAGTATGTTATGTTTGGATATTTAAATATTGTTTGGATGTTTGTTTGTCTTTCACGCGTACGAGTTCATCGAAGTAACATAACTATAGGATCACTTTTGATCCCGGTGTAGTAATAAATTAATACATTTCCAAAAATCAATGCTTACAAAAAAGGAGGCATAAACTATAAAAATAAATATGTGATTAAAATTGTATAGTCCAGTCGAATAGGTACTGAATAACGATTTAAAAAATAATAAAATATATGTAAGTTATCGTATACAGTACGCTTATACAGTAGTCATTTAAATAAGTAATGAGTAATAACATTTTTAAACATTACACAAACTTAATTCAATTACTTAAAACGTTATACTTATAAATTACGCGAAACTGCATTCGACACATTTTGATATTTCGATTCTTTGCAATAAATCAATATTTTTTTGAATAAAAGAATTCTTTACGCTGACTTCAAAATATTCATAAAGGAGTTATTTTTGCATTATAATTTAGGTATAAAATTACCTTCCTCTTGTATACTTACTTTAGGAAACTCAATTATATTCTTAGCTACCTAACTACGAAACTACCTAACCTACTATTATTATTACTGTTATTAAAAAAAGTAAGGAAAAGTGAATCATGAAGTTAGTTACGGATTATACTAGCTGGAAACTGAAAAATCTGAATACATGCGAATAAGGATCGCTGTACTTAATTAAAGTCTTAAAATTATATTCACATTAAGTAGATAAATTAATTATTAATATAAAAATTTAAAAAAACCGACGTCCAGACACTAAAGTGTAAAAAATAACTAAACGGGGGTTTTCATTTAGAATACATACCTAATCAGATATTTTCGAAGTCGGTGCCAGCCGATGCAAAGCAAATCTAATATTTTTTGATATGTTAAATACATCACAAATTGATGTATAATATTTTAACTATAACATCGACTTCGAAAATATCTGCTTCGGTATCTATTCTAAATGAAAACCCCCGTTTAGTTATTTTTTACATTTTAGTGGAAGTCGGTTTTTTTTTAGTTTTTATTTTTCCATTTTTAGTGTAGACGTAATAAGCAGGTAATTTGTATGAAGAAAGTTTTTTTAAAACATTCGATTAAGCAATTTATTAAAAATAAAAATTTATTTGTTGATTTTTTTTAAAATCGCTTGATCGATTTCGATAAAATTTAAATAGGACCACCTAAAAAGTATACCCTTCGAAACAAAAAAAATCCAAATCGGTTCAGGCGTCTTCGAGTACCCCCCCAACGCGCGTTCACCTTGTCGTGGTGGGGGGGCTCAGTAGTGCCCGGCAATCCAACCGGGCGCGAAGCTAAGAAACGCACAGGGAGGTTGCCCACTTCGGTGGGCGGTGGGAGGTGGCCCTCTTCGAGGGGCGGTGTACCTTGCGGGTTGCTCCTGGTACTTCTCTGATAGCAGAGTGGACTGTGGAGCAACCCCATGGTTGTGGTGGTCTGCTTCGGCAGACCTGCCGTCGGGGCGTCGTAGTTGAATGCGTAAGCGATCCTGCGATGCCCCATTAAGACGGGGGAAGGTTATGTTGGGTTTTAGTGGGTAGTACTGGCTGTATTACGCCGGTGAGTCCCACACGTCGTGCGTAAATGCATTTCCCAACGTTAAAAAAGAAAAAAAAAAAAAAAGGCGTCTTCGAGTAATCGGTGAACATACATTTGGAAGTCGGTTAAAAATATCCACATCTTCTAGATCTTTTGTACCACTTACCACATAAAATACGCAGTGTCGTATTGCTAAGCATCTTCAATACATCCGTCTGTTCTTTTCCAACTTCTTCGTCTATAAGCTTTACCAACTTTTCCGCCTCTACTATAAATGACTTAGTAAATTTTTTCAAAATATTAAAATGAAATGCTTTTGTCAGCATTCTCCTGCGTTGAAACCATTTATTTCCTAAAGAAAACAAGTAAACATAAGTAAATCCATACCAATATTATAAATGTGAAAATGTGTTTGTTTTTTTTGTTGTCCTTCTATCACGTTGAAACGTAGCGACGGATTGGCGCCTGGAGAGTGACATAGGCTACTTTTTACCGCGGGAGATCATCTCATTCCCACGGGAAAATACGTTATAATACAACCCGAAAAATTATTTATGATCAGAATTACTTGAAACTTGATTTTAATTTTCTTGGGGTAATGGAGTAAAATAAGGGATGAAAGGTTGTATGAAACCTACATTTTTAGAGCTTTTTTGTAGGTTTAGCCGCGGTTTCTGCTAGTATATTATAATTCTAAATTTTGACTTAATTTTTATTTTAAATGTGAATAAACGGACCATTGCTGACTAGTAATCCTTGTCCAAGCCATTTGGTAACGTATGTATATGGGTGATCTTTATCGTTGTATTCAGCTGAGGAAAGTATTTTCTGAAAAAATATGGATATTAAAGAAATAATTACATTTAGTAGTCATGAAAGTATGTACTACTAGCGGTTCAACCTCGCTTTGCTTAGGTTCGCCTCTAGAAAACAAAAACTAATCTATCCCACGGGAACCATACATTTTTCCGGGATAAAAAGTAGTCTTTCTGTTACTCTGATGTATGAGCTATATTATTGTAAAGTTTCATCAAAATCCATTCAGTAGATATAGCGCGAAAGAGTAACAAACATACATCCATACTCACCAACATTCACATTGCACATGGTACACGCCAGGTAAAGCAGAGGCAATTTGGTAGTTTCTTAAACCGACTGTTTCGAGGTTTTAGACATGAAACCTACTAACTTTTGGCAAAAATACTATATAAAAACAGAGTTGTCACGTTAAAAAGTTTAGGTGGCTTATTTATTACAGGTGTGTCAACCTTCAGGAGAACTTTATGGGAAAATAGGCCTGGTGAGCTAACACTGTTAAGGAACTCCATAGGATAAAGGACTGTTTCATCCATTATCGTTTTATATTTTTCATTGTTTTATCGACAAACCTACGTATATTCTATTTCTGATAAATTAAAGGACTTACGCAGGATGTTATTTAAAGCAATTGCATTGTTGTTTTTGGGGGTCAGTGTAATATGTGCACAAAGGCAAGTCAAGACATCGTTTCTATATTAGAAACATCAGGATACACTCTAGCTAGGTTCTCTCTCTCGCGCTCTAGGTCTGCTATAGTTATCACTGCTATATCCAGCCGAGAGTTATACGTAATTTTTATTTGGATTCGGAATAATCTCCGTTCTCTATTTTATATCTCACACAGTAAGTGTGCATTTTCGGTGAACTTGAGAAGCCAGCCTATATTTATAACTATATTTTAAGGTATGAATATCTAATAGGTAAATATGTATTTTACGTATCAAAATATATTAGATTTGTTTTGCATCGGCTGGCACCGACTTCGAAAATATCTGATTAGGTATCTATTTTAAATGAAAACCCCGTTTAGTTATTTTTTACATTTTAGTGCCTGGAAGTCGGTTTTTATTTTTTGCTGTAAAAAAGTTATTACTAAATAAAGTTCTGGTAATATTGAATTTTACAAATCCATGGGAGTGAAAATAGGGACTCGTAAAAAATATTAAAGGATTAAAATGTCGCCAGATGACGACTTCGGATTTCCACACACACGCGACAGCTTCTGCGCATGTGTTTGTTCTATTTCGCCTATAAATAAATGCCTAATTTCGCCCGTTTTGATTTCGCATACGGCCTCCTAATTCCATCCCCTAATTTAGAGGGTGGGGGGCTTATAACAAGGAGTTCCTATATCAATTTTCAGAACTCTAGCATCAAACTTTGTGGAAGTCTCACACAAACCTCCATCCACTAGCTTAAGGGGTTGGGGTGTAAAAATTCCTACTTTTAGAAATTTTTTAGTGTTTATGTTTAATACTACTGCTTTCACACCAAGTTTCAGCTTTCTAGGACTTCAGAAAGTACTCTAAGAACTTCGATGATCATAAGTGAGAGAGTCAGTGACGATATCGGAGTTTTTTTAGATATTAATAAAATCTAAAGTATACAAGCAATGCAATTGAAACTTAATATGTTTAATAAGTCCACTATTGACATCATATCCCGAGAACTCTGTTTATCTGGTATAATCCAAACCAAAGTTATAAGGGTTCAAAAAAACGACGAAGCGCTTCGAGAAGAGGTAGGTAGTGCCTGTCGCTTCGTTTGGCTTTCCTTGGCGGGGGCACTGCCGTGCCCCCAGATTATCTTCTCTTTGATATTCGTTTGAATCATATTTTTGAGTGAGTGTAATATTAAAAGTTTTTATTAATTTATTAATCTTACAGATTTGGAATATAAATAACCAATGAAGCTTCATTTGTAACACGTTTCCATAGAAACTTGTTTTTTTTTAGTTTATAATGTATAGATTAAGAAATTAAAACAGAATATTGTGAATTGTGAAACAATGTAAAGAAAACTTACTTCAATATCGTCTGGGTTGGTAAGGTTCACTAATCGAATGCTCAATCCATGAATTTGACTCAATCCACCATATGTCTTCGGTAAATATCTCTGATACGCAAAGAGTTTGTCTGAAATTTTTTATATTAATAATAATAAATAATAATCTATTTTAAAATAAACATAAATAATGCTAATCTATCTGTCTATATAACTAGAAATCAATTGCAGAATGTATGTAAGCGCATCACTTCAGAACGGCTACACCTATTTGGCTAATTCTTTTTTGTTGTGTTTATAGTTGTCAAGACAAAATGTGTATGAAAGAAAATGTTTGAAAAATTGTACGAAAAAGTAAATTTGGGTTAAAAATACTTCACATAAAAATTAGTGACACAGGAGATTTTAGGGAGATCTTCAAAAATATTGACACAATTGACTTTCAGTTGTTCAGTTTCTTACATTGTTTTATATGTTACATTCGAGAAAAAAAATGTTTTTTTTGTTTTGTGAAAAAAAGATAAAATTGTGTGTGTGTGCGTGCGTGCGTGCGTGCGTGCGTGCGTGCGTGCATGCGTGCGTGCGTGTGTGTGTGTGTGTGTGTGTGTATTTTATGCGTTAATCCAAGGCCCTAACCATTTATTTTGCAAGAAAGTAATAAAGACTTTATGATTTTTTTTAATTAAAAAATAATTTATCAGTGTTCTGTATTATATTACCTACACACGCACTAAAAGTCATTTACAGAGCTCAAGCGAGAATATTATTTAATTACTTTATGGATTCCTATCAAGGTTCCTAAGGCATAACTTAGCAGCTTTGCAAAAACTAAAGATTCTAAAAATGTATCTAAAAAATATTAAAAAAAAAACTTAAAAAACGAAATATTTCTCTGTTTACAGCCCAAAAATAAATAATAAATTAAAAAAAACACACCTAATGGCAACGCCATCTTGAGAGAATTTCCAATTATCGGCCATCCCGCTGGACCAGGAATTTTCTTAATTAATCTTGTAGTTCTATTGTAGCAATGGTATAGAGCAGTCAATGCAATGGCCAAAAACGTAATTAAAAAAGCGTACAGGTACATTTTGGATCTAAAATGTTAATCATCAGAATCAAATCAAATGAAATCAAATATTCTTTATTGTACACCTTTATTTTAAATTATTTTACATTACATAGTTGAAACAGATTAAAGAGGAATAGTACAATAGGCAACCTTATTGCTAGAGAGTGATCTATTCTAGGCAAACTTTGGGTTGAGAGAAAGAAACAGAGAAGAAACAGGTGCAAACAATCTTTTAAGGAGATGCTGCGGAAGAATATATACATAACAAACAAATATAGACACACATACATTGACGCATACATACAATTCACGCACACGCACACACGTACACAAAAACATACGCCATTTAGCACTTTATAGGTAAAGATAATATTATTAAATTATTTTTTTATTATTAAGTAATGATAGCAAATCAGTTTTTTTTATCTTTATTTGGTAACTAGCGGCTCACCCTCGCTTTGCTCGGGTTCGAATCTAGAAAAACGCTGATAGAGATTTATTAGTTCCCAAGAGAACCGTTCATTTTTCTGGGATGAAAAGTAACATGCTGTTTGACCGGCAATATAAGGTATCAGAATGTTAAATTTTACTAAATTAGGCGCATAAGTTGTTGTGTACTAAGCTGAATAAGATACTATAGTTTTTTAACTATCCCACGGGAACTCTTTAATTATCTAGGATGAAAAGTATCTAAAATGTTGCCCGGCGATATAAGGTACTACCATGCAAAATTTTATTTAAAACGGTTCAATAGATTCGGAGATTAGGCCGTACAAACAGACAAACAGACAGAGAAACAAAAAAAATTGATAAAAATCTGCATTTGTTCTATTTGTCTTCTTACATCCCCCTGACTCGGTTTTTAGCATTTTTTTGCTATGTACAGACATTCGACCTCTACTGTTTTATTATAGTACTCACTAGTACAGTGAGCCACTGCTCACCCTCGCTTCGCTCGGGTTCGCCTCTAGAAAAATACTAATAGAGATCTATTATTCCCACGGGAACCGTTCATTTTTCCGGGATGAGAAGTAACCTGTTGTTTGACCGGCAATATATGATATCAGCATGCCAAATTTAACTAAATTAGGTGCATAAGTTGTGTACTAAGCTGTATAAGTTATTATAGTTTTTTAACTATCCCACGGGAACTATTTAATTTTCCGGGATAAAAAGTATCTAAGATGTTGACCGAGGATATAAGGTACCACCATGCAAAATTTCATTTAAATCGGTCCAATAGATTCGGAGATTAGCCAGTACAAACATACAGAGAAAAAATAAATTTAAAAAAAAACTTCATTTGTTCTATTTCTTTTCTTACATCCCAATGACTCAGTTTTTAGCATTTTTTTGCTATGTACAGACATTCGACCTCTACTGTTTTATTACATAGATAGATAGAAGAGTTCCACAGACGGTCACATTGGA